CTTGGCCCCCATGTGGCTCCAAGTTCTCCCATTCGATCTCCTTGTGGTTGAAGTCGCCTATGATCAGGAGCTTTGCCCTGCATGTATGAGCTCTTCTGGCCACTGCAGCCAGTGTGTCAACCATCGCTCTATTGCTCTCGTCATACTCTTGCCTTGGCCTCATGCTGTTCTGTGGTGGGTTATACATCACTGCAATTATCACCTTGTGACCTCCAGAGTGAAGTGTTCCTGCTATACAATCACTTTCTTCTCCGCTGTCTCCTCTCTCCAGCTCATCAAAATTTCATCGGTGTTTGATCAGCAATGCCACTCCTCCCCCCCTGTTCCTTCTGTCTTTCCTCAGGATCTTGTATCCCGTTGGGAAGATGGCATCTGTTATCATACCTGTAAGCTTGGTTTCTGTGATTGCTATGATGTCTGGTGATGCCTCTTTGACTTTTTCGTGCCACTCCTCCCACTTGTTTGTTATTCCATCAGCGTTTGTGTACCATACCTTAAGTTTCCTTTCCAACACTGTGGTTTGGGGGGCCTGTGGGGGTGGGAGACCTGGTAGCATACTGTGGGATTCTATGGTTGGGGGTTGGGTGGAAGCTGTGGGTATGGATTGTATTGTGTGTTGGGATGGTGTGATAGGTTGTGGGGTTCTGAGGATAGTTGTGTGTGTGCTTGCTCTTGCTGCTCTGTTCTGCTCTGACTGACCTCTGCTGGTTCCATCCTTGTCTCCTTTCCTAGCTCCTTTCGCTTTTTTGTCCTCTCCCTCAGCTGCTGTCTCTCTTTTTGTGTTCTGTCTCTGTCTAGGAACACCTTCTTGTACTCTTCCGAGCTTCTCAACCGTGGTTTTTTCTTGGAGGATCCTGTTCCGCACTGTTTCTGTCCTGAGAATCAGCTTGATCAGTCAGTTTCTTCCCTTCAAGTACCCCCCTATTCTCTGAAAATGTACAATCTCGTCCATGTCTTCTCCCCCTATTTCCGTGATGATTTTCTCAATCTCCTTTCTTTCTTCCTGCCGTCTTTCAGTGTGTGTCCTTTCCTCTCTCTCCCAAAGCCATGGAAAACACTGATTTTGCCCTTTCCTCCTCCCATTGCCTCTCCCTCTGTGACTCTGGTTCCTGTCTGTATGTGGTCATTTTCTCCCTTGATTTTTCCAGTGGCTCTTGGTAGCATGGTTGTTGCCTCAGCATTCGACCTATCTCCCTCTCCATCTGCACCCATCTGCTCTTCCCTTCCCACTCCCTGGCCCTTCTTTGCTGGCTGATAGGACCTTAGCATATTTCATATCTCCTTCCTTCCTGTTTAGCCTCTCAGCTTCGTATGGTGTGTCTTCTCTGGTCACTATCCCTGAGACTTGCTTCAGCCTGTTTACCTCAAATTCTAGGACCTTTACCCTGGCTACTGCAGTTTCGACTTGTGCCTCCCATTTTCGTCTCCTTCTCCAACCTCTTTTCCCATTTCACAGAAAGCTTTTCTCCATTTTTTCAGAAAGCTCTCCTAATTTTCTCTCCCATTCTTGCTCTATCCTTTTCCACTGCTCCTCCATCCATTCCTCCCTACCAGTACCATTGTCATCTGATCCCTGACTCCTGCGAGTCCCAACCATTTTTTTTTTTTTTTTTTTTTTTTTTTTTTTTTTTTTAGTAAAAGGAAAGTGAAAAAGAAAAAGGGGGAGAGAGTAGAGAGAGGAGGATGGAAAGAGAGAAGGGAGGTTAGAGGAGGGGAAAGGGGAGGAAATGAGGAGGAGGGAAAAGGTTTAAAAGAGAGGGGGAGGACAAGGGAAGAGAGGAGAGAGAGAGAAGAGGAAGGAGAGAGAAAGAGAGGAAAGAGGAGGGAGAGAGAGAGAGGGAGAGGGAGGGAGAGGAGAGAGAGGAAAAAGAGAAGAAGAGAGAAGAGTGAGGGGAAGAGAGGGGAGGAAGAGAGGGGGGAAGATGGAGAGGAAGAGAGGATGAAGAAAGGGGAGAGAGAGAGGAAAAGGAGAGAGAAGGAGAGAGAGGAAGAGAAGAGGGAGAGGAGAGGGAGAGAGGTGGGGGGAGAAAGGGAAAGGGGTTTGGGGTCACTTCAAGGAAGGTGTGAATCCTGTATATGGGGTGTGTGTGTGTGTGTGGTGTTGTGTGTGTGGTGTGTGTGTGTGTGTGTGTGTGTGTGTGTGTGTGTGGTGTGTGTTTATGTGTGTGTGTGTGATGTGTGTGTGTTTGTGTGTGTTTTGTGTGTACTCACCTATTTGTACTCACCTATTTGTTGGTTGCGTGGTCGGTCTAGTCCTGGCCCCGCCCTTCACCGTTTCTACTAGGCCCTCTCTCCCCGCTCCATGAGCTTTATTTAAACCCCGTCTTAAACTGTGTTTGGTTTCCCGCCTCCACTACGTCATTTTCTAGGCTATTCCACTGCCTTACAATCTTGACTGAAGAAATACTTCCTACTATCTCTCTGACTCATTTTGTTTCAACTTCCAATTGTGGCCTCTTGTTTCTGTGTCCCCCCTGGAACATCCTGTCTTTGTCCACCTTGTCTATTCCACGCAGTATTTTTTATGTCGTTATCATGTCTCCCTGACCCTCCTGTCCTCCAGTGTGGTCAGGCCGATTTCCCTTAATCTTTCTTCATAGGACATTCCCCTTAGCTCTGGAACTAACCTTGTCGCAAACCTTTGTACTTTCTCTAGTTTCTTGACGTGCTTTATCAAGTGCGGGTTCCAAACAGGTGCTGCATACTCCAGTATGGGCCTGACATACACGGTGTACAGTGTCTTGAATGATTCCTTACTAAGGTATCGGAATGCTGTTCTCAGGTTTGCCAGGCGCCCATATGCTGCAGCAGTTATCTGATTGATGTGTGCTTCCGGAGACATGCTCGGTGTTATACTCACCCCAAGATCTTTCTCCTTGAGTGAGGTTTGCAGTCTTTGGCCACCTAGCCTATACTCTGTCTGTGGTCTTCAGTGCCCTTCCCCTATCTTCATGACTTTGCATTTGGCAGGATTAAATTCGAGAAGCCATTTGCTGGACCAGGTGTCCAGTCTGTCCAGGTCTCTTTGAAGTCCTGCCTGGTCCTCATCAGATTTAATTCTCCTCATTAACTTCACATCATCTGCAAACAGGGACACTTCTGAGTCTAACCCTTCCGTCATGTCGTTCACATATACCAAAAATAGCACTGGTCTAGGACCGACCCCTGTGGGACCCCGCTCGTCACAGGTGCCCACTGTGATACATCATTACGTACCATGACTCGTTGTTGCCTCCCTGTCAGGTATTCTCTGATCCATTGCAGTGCCCTTCCTGTTATATGCGCCTGATGCTCTAGCTTCTGCAGTAATCTCTTGTGAGGAACTGTGTCAAAGGCCTTCTTGCAGTCCAAGAAGATGCAATCAACCCACCCCTCTCTCTCTTGTCTTACTTCTGTTATTTTATCATAAAACTCCAGAAGGTTTGTGACACAGGATTTGCCTTCCGTGAATCCGTGCTGGTTGGCAGTTATACTCCTGTTCCGTTCCAGGTGCTCCACCACTCTCCTCCTGATAATCTTCTCCATAATTTTGCATACTATACACGTCAATGACACAGGTCTATAGTTTAGTGCCTCTTTTCTGTCTCCTTTTTTAAAATGGGAACTACATTTGCCGTCTTCCATACCTCAGGTAGTTGCCCAGTTTCCAGGGATGTGTTGAAGATTGTGGTAAGTGGCATGCACAACATATCTGCTCCCTCTCTAAGGACCCACGGGGAGATGTTGTCTGGTCCCATTGCCTTTGAGGTATCGATTGTCCCTTAGCAGTTTCTTCACCTCCTCCTCATCTGTATGTATGTCGTCCAACACTTGTTGGTGTATTCCTTGCTGGTGTTCCCATCTGGTCTGTCCCCCCAGAGTCCTTCCTGTCTCTACTGTAAATACTTCCTTAAATCTCGTGTTGAGCTCCTCACATACCTCTTGATCGTTTCTTGTGAGTTCTCCCCCTTCTTTCCTCAGCCTTATCACCTGGTCCTTGACTGTTGTCTTCCTCCTAATGTGGCTATACAGCAGTTTCGGGTCAGATTTGACTTTCGATGCTATGTCGTTTTCATACTGTCGCTGGGCCTCCCTCCTTATCTGTGCATACTCGTTTCTGGCTCTTCTACTAATCTCCTTGTTTTCCTGGGTCCTATGCCTCCTGTACCTTTTCCATTCTCTGTTGCACTTAGTTTTTGCCTCCCTACACCTTCGGGTAAACCAAGGACTCGTTTTGGTCTTCCTATTATTTCCGTTTCCCTTGGGAACAAAACTTTCCTCTGCCTCCTTGCACTTTGTTGCCACATATTCCATCATCTCGTTTACTGATTTTCCTACCATTTCTCTGTCCCACTGAACCTCCTGCAGGAAGTTTCTCATACCTGTGTTGTCCCCCCTTTTATAGTTTGGCCTGTCCCCTTCAGTTCCTGTTACCTTCTCCACTTGTAACTCTACTATATAGTCAAAACTCAGAACCACATGATCGCTAGCTCCAAGGGGCCTCTCATAAATGTGTGTGTGTGTGTGTGTGTGTGTGTGTGTGTGTGTGTGTGTGTGTGTGTGTGTGTGTGTGCCCCCACTTCTAAGTATCCCCTTCAGTTCCTGTTACCTTCTCCACTTGTAACTCTACTATATAGTCAAAACTCAGAACCACATGATCGCTAGCTCCAAGGGGCCTCTCATAAATGTGTGTGTGTGTGTGTGTGTGTGTGTGTGTGTGTGTGTGTGTGTGTGTGTGTGTGTGTGTGTGTGTGCCCCCACTTCTAAGTATTCATACTGCTAATAAATATCAGTAGTAATACCCGTATTTCTAAAACTACCAACAGTGATTCTAGCACTTATCACTTTTACTTATAAAACACACAAAGTAATTAGGTTGTAAAATTTAGCTTGTCTCAGCTTCTAGGAGTGTCTGACGTCACCCTCACTAGGCTTCCCCTCGCTAGGCTGCTCCTCGCTAGTCAACACTATCTTCACCTTATCTATGCTATTTCTGCTCTAATTCTGGTAATAACTTGCAGGAGTGAGTGACCAGTATCTAACAGTGACGCAAGACCAGGATTCAGAACCTCCAAAACAACCCCAACAGGTGAGTGATACTTAAGCTGGCAGTGATGCGATGACAAGTTGCCAGATGCTGATGACGTAGTCGTCGTACATACTCCTTCTATCACTATTTTGAAAATTCTTCACCCGTGATCTTTATTACCGTATATGCTCATGCATCCCGCGTTTCTCAATTCACTTATGATAGAATACACTTCACTTATATTGGAATACACTTCACATTCGGTGTTACACTTTATATGTATAATGTCACACAACTGTTGTGACATCACTGTTTCAGCAGGCCTACTGCCACCTTCCCTTGTTATATATTATATTTTTCCTTTCTACTTTTGCTTATTAACTTTTTCACTCTCACTGTATGGTGCCCCACATTTCACTTGTTATCCAATCTCTCGAAATTCTTGAACACCCACTTCCACACTTACTTGAATCTTTGTATATTTCAATCTGTGTAGCAACAGAAGCCTACTAGCCACCAACGGTTTGACACTTTGAAATATTAAAGATTTCAGGCTTCCTCTCGACTTTTTTTAACTAATAACTCTGGTTATCACTCGTAGGATTGTTCACTGACGTTGTCACTACCACTGATTACTGCTAGCAGTTACTGCACGACTTAAAAACCACTAAAATTCTCGGAGCCTTGTGACCCACGTCTGCTGACTGACTGTGTGTGTGTGTGTGTGTGTGTGTATGTATGTGTGTGTGTGTGTGTGTGTGTGTGTGTGTGTGTGTGTGTGTGTGTGTGTGTGTGTGTGTGTGTGTGTGTGTGTGTGTGTGTGTGTGTGCGCTCATCGATATGTGTTTGTGGGAGTCGAAGAAACACTTCATTGCATCCCTTTCGCTTATCTCTGTTTTCAGATTCCACATGTGTCCCTTTGACTGGGACACTGGGTGTAGGATCCATGCTGGGGTATCATACTCTATCCCTGGCCTAACATGGATCGTGTACAAATTATCTAATGACCCCTTATTCAGGTTCCCGAAAGCTATTCTGAGGTTAGCTAATCTTGTACATGTTACTGATGTTATACGTTTTATATGCAGTTCTGACGATATGCTGGATGTTATATTCACCCCAGGTCTTTTTCATTCTGATATTTGCAATTTCTCTCCCTTCTTGTTGCACTCTGCATCTGATCTCCTTCTCCTTCTCCAAAGCTTGAGTTGAACCCGAGAAGTTACTTGTTTAACCACATCTGCTGTCTGCTGAGGTCTCTAGAGCTTATTACTCTCCTCTCCTGTTCTTATTAATCTCATTATTACTACATTGTCAGCAAACAGTGATACATAGGACTCAATCCCTTCTGGTAGGCTATTCACCTATATAAGGAACAGCAATGGTCCTGACACTGATCTTCACGGAACCCCACTTGTCACTTTCCTCCATTCAGATGTCTTATACCTTTCTGTTACTCTCTGCCTTCTGTCATTTAGGTACTTCTTGGCCGACTGGAGCACTCTGCCTTTTAACCCTGCATGCTGTTATATGTTCAGGGTCAATCTTTGGTACTATATCAAAATGCTTTCTAAAGTTCGAGAAAATGCAATCAAAACTGTCTTACTTGTTTTATTATTGTTACTCTGTCGTAGAATTGCAACAAATTCATAAAACAGGATTTTTCATCCCTATATCCATGCTGGTTTTCTGGAAAGAATCTCATTCATTCTAAGTGTCACAATATATTTTTCCATGCTTCCTCCTCTAGAATTTTTGACAGTGTGTATGTTAGAGATAAAGACTTGCATTTCAGGGCCTCTTGTCTGTTTCCTTGTTTATAAATATGAACCACCTTTGTCATTTTCCAATTTTTTGTCCTTATTGGAGAGACAGGTTCAATGTATTTGCTTTTGCGTTACATATATATTTTGCCCCTTCTCTCAGCATTCATGGAGATGTTATCATTCCGTCCATATCCACCTTGTCAATTAATCTCAGTATTTTGTATGTTGTTATTGTGTCCCCCTAGCTCTCCAGCCATCCAGTGTCGTCAGAACGATTTCCATTAACCTCTCCTTGTAGGACATCCTCTTAGCTCTGGGACTAGTCTTGTTGCAAACCTTTGCACTTTCTCTAATTTCCTGACCTGCTTAACCAGGTGTGGGTTCCATACTGGTGCTGCGTACTCCAATGTGGGGTTGACGCACACGGTGTACAGAGTCTTGAATGATTCCTTGCTAAGGTGTCGAAATGCTATTCTTAAGTTTGCCAGGCTGGAAAATGCTCCAGCGGTTGTTTGGTTAATGTGCTCCTCAGATGTGCTCGGTATTATACTTACTCCAAGATTCATTTCCTTGAGTGAGATTTTCAATCTTCGGTCCCCTAGCCTGTCTGGAGTCTTCTTTGTGTGTGTGTGTGTGTGTGTGTGTGTGTGTGTGTGTGTGTGTGTGTGTGTGTGTGTGTGTGTGTGTGTGTGTGTGTGTGTGTGTGTGTGTCGGTTGGAAGAAGGTAGTGAGTGCGCTTGAGTTCATCAACATGAAGAAAGTCTCCCACTTGCACAGGACACTGAGGCATCGCCTCTCATCCTCAGGATGGCTTAATGAAAGCTTCTTTGTTAATTATTTTCTATGAGGGGCCGAGGCTGACATGATAAGCAAGTACATGGCGACATGTATGAAATTACCACTATACTGTTAACGTCGTAATCATACGCTGTACAATGCTTCGCTCAAGACTTGCATTGAAAAAGTTCACATGTGAGAGAAACCTTATTTATCCAAACTTTGGTTTACTTTATTTCATGTCTTTGGCTTACCAAGGTTAGTGTTACTGATATTTTAGCAGCGACCCTCAAACCTGCACAAGAAATATCTAATCAGCAAGAAAGATCTAAAATATTTCTTTTAAATTTTGTTTTCTATTAAACCTACGGAATATTTAGGTATAGATATATGATTACCTAACCGATCAGAATCAGATCGTATCGCGTAGTCAAATCTTCTTCAAATCATTCAAGTCAAAAGATCTTTATTTTCTGTTACCCATGGTTTTCATGGAGACATTTCAAATATCTTGCATGATGCTTGCCACTAATCAATCTCGTTATCTCTGACGAACCATCTTAATAGAAGATTGTACACTTATCTTAGTACAGAGAATGAACGTCGTGTTTATCTTATACACAGCATCCCAGTTTTATAATGAAAATATCATACTTTGTAATCAATATATGTGTGTGTGTCTTGCAAAGTGTTACGGCCTTTGTTCACAGTTTAAGAAGGGGTCATTTGATTAATGTGCAATTTCGGCCTTTTCACTTAATATTATATTACTGGTATCTTTATTAGTAGCTAAAATAAAGATGCTATGCTTTATAATATTATTTGGACATGATTTATTTATTTATGTTTCTGGTAGGATTTTTTTAAACCTGCAGTGTTTAGTATTCTTATGTTGAATTACCTTGTGGTCGTTTGTATCTTGCAAACTTTCGCTCATTCCGAGGTGACGTCGAGCAAGGGAGTTTTACTCCTGGTAATTCAATCTTACCTCTGGTTAAGAAAGCACTCAGCTAAGGAGCTCTCTTATAATCTCCCTTTAAAAACACCAGGAGAACCTTTGGACCGGGATCTCTCAGTTTGAGCGAGAGATTGTTGAATTATGTCCATGTTGGTGGATTACGCCTGTGTAGTTATCCACTCTGTGAAGCAATTTAGCAAAGGGACTAAGTTTGTGTTGTATACCAGCTGAAGCTTCGTGATAGTGTCTCTAACCAGTTACAAGTGTAGTAAATATGTGTATATAACTGATTAATAAGGGACTAAAGGAACCTCATACTGTACTTCATTCTCTGTGTCAGAGATCCCAGTGATATTTTGTGTTTGTTGATTATGAAACTATAGTGACTGTATGTATATAAGTGTTAAAGGAAAGGTATATCTGAATTGTTCATGACCCACCTATTAGTAAGGTACTTTTATTAATTATTTAATATACTAAGTAAATCAATAAGCTTAGTATTATACTGAATAAAAACTGGATAAAGCATTATAGTTGGTTTTCTCCAGTTGTTACTATTGGGTCTCCGTCCTCAAAAGAGTGACTCAGTACGTAAACGTAACACAGAGTACCAAAAAATGGAGAAAATTTAAGGTGAGGGAACGAGAAATGTATATGTCATGCAAGGGCAGAAAGAAAAGTTGTTAAGATGGTTTGAACTTTTGAACAGACTTCAGTAAAATACGGCTGTAGCGGATGTCCAAGGAAAGGGTTTCAAACGGGAAGAGTTTCAGCATCTAGCACGCACCTGTTAGTGTGTTTGATCGGATTGAGTAGAGGCAAATGACTTCTAGGAATAGACAAACTATTGTAGTTAAATCATTGAAGTGTTTCAAGGAAATCGTGTGGTCAAACATGAGTACTGAAGGTGGGAAGTGATTTTGACAAAGAATTATTATTTTACAGATCAGTCTAAGCGAAACAAACTATGGGCACAAAGACGCCTTCAGGCAGGAGGATCCCAGTGGTGGATCTTGGTCAGCTGGGTGAGTTATATATGTATGTTCCATTGTAGTGCACCTGGGCAGTTGAACTTGAAGGCTGGTCCACGTGAGTTTATATATATATATATATATATATATATATATATATATATATATATATATATATATATATATATATATATATATATATATATATGCAAAATAACCACTGTGAAAGAGTAGTGAAATTCCAAGGGCTTTCGTGACTACTCACATTGTCAAGGAACTATGAAAGTAATACTTCAAAGGAAGGCAACAAAAGGGCTTAGACCACACCTCACAGTCAACTCCCACAACAATGAAACACCTGACGCGGGACAATACCGGACTCATAAGAAAAGAGGAACACTGCAGTAGGTCCGCTGGTCCAACTAGACAGGTCCTCACGACAACCCACCAACAAATCGTTCTACCCAAGAATTAAGGTTTATTATTTGTCCAATGTACTATTAAACTCTAACCAAATTTTATTAATTATAAATGAATCTAATTTATGCAAACCTAAGGAAATATTCAATCAGATATATCCAATCAGACCAATTATTAGCTCCATAGCATCAGTTTCGTATAAATTATCCAAATGGCTTGTTGACATTTTGAGCCCTATTGTTGGTAAAATTTCTAACTTCAATGTTAAAAACAACTTAGATTTAGTTGATAAATTAAGCTCCTTGACTGACTTAAATGATTTTAACATGGTTAGTTTTGATGTTACTTCCTTGTTTACGAAAGTTCCTGTTGATGATTTATTAAGTTTCTTATCTGAATAACTCGTTAATTATGATTTTCCATTGCCAGTTCCTACCATCATTAAATTTATTAAACTTTGCATTGTTGATGCAAAATTTGTATTTAATGATAAATTTTACACTCAGAAATTTGGTATGGCAATGGGAAATCCTCTTTCACCTGTTCTTAGTAATCTATATGTCGAATTTTTTGAATCAAGATTGCTTAACACAATCCTCCCTAACAGAGCAAAATGGTTCAGATAAGTCGATGATATTTTATGTCTTATGCCCAAGAACATAAGAACATAAGAAAGGAGGAACACTGCAGCAGGCCTGTTGGCCCATACTAGGCAGGTCCTTTACAATTCATCCCACTAACAAAACATTTGCCCAACCCAATTTTCAATGCTACCCAAGAAATAAGCTCTGATGTGTAAGTCCCACTCAAATCCAACCCCTCCCACTCATGTACTTATCTAACCTAAATTTGAAACTACCCAAAGTCCTAGCCTCAATAACCCAACGAGGTAGACTGTTCCACTCACCAACTACCCTATTTCCAAACCAATACTTTCCTATGTCCTTTCTAAATCTAAACTTATCTAATTTAAATCCATTACTGCGGGTTCTCTCTTGGAGAGATATCCTCAAGACCTTATTAATATCCCGTTTATTTATACCCATCTTCCACTTATACACTTCGATCAGGTCTCCCCTCATTCTTCGTCTAACAAGTGAATGTAACTTAAGAGTCTTCAATCTTTCTTCATAAGGAAGATTTCTAATGCTATGTATTAATTTAGTCATCCTACGTTGAATATTTTCTAACGAATTTATGTCCATTCTGTAATATGGAGACCAGAATTGAGCTGCATAATCTAGGTGAGGCCTTACTAATGATGTATAAAGCTGCAGTATGACCTCTGGATTTTTGTTGCTTACACTTCTTGATATAAATCCCAGTAATCTATTTGCCTTATTACGTACGCTTAGGCATTGCTGTCTTGGTTTAAGGTTGCTGCTTACCATAACCCCCATGTCCTTTTCGCAATCTGTATGGCTAAGTTCTACATCATTTAACTTCATTTAACTTCAGAACCTTGCATTTATCTACATTGAACTGCATCTGCCACTTTTCTGACCAAGGATAGAGTTTGTTTAAATCCTCCTGAAGTTCCCTAACATCTACGTTTGAATCAATTATCCTACCTATCTTTGTGTCATCGGCGAATTTGCACATGTCACTAGTAATTCCCTCATCAAGATCATTGATATATATTATAAACAACAACGGGCCCAAGACTGATCCCTGTGGAACGCCACTTGTTACAGATCCCCACTCGGATTTAACCCCAATTATGGACACCCTCTGCTTCCTGTCTGTGAGCCATGACTCGATCCACGAGAGCACTTTTCCCCCAATGCCATGAGCTGCCACTTTCTTTAACAGTCTTTGGTGTGGAACTCTATCAAAAGCCTTACTAAAATCTAAGTAAATAATATCAAATTCTTTATCGTGGTCAACAGCCTCAAAACCTGTACTGAAGAAAGTTAATAAATTAGTTAGACAAGACCGGCCTCTTGTGAATCCAAGCTGAGTATCATTAATCAAGCTATGCTTATCGAGATGGCTTCTTATAATCTCAGCTATAATTGACTCTAGTAATTTGCCTACAATTGAGGTCAGGCTTATTGGGCGGTAATTTGACGGTAATGACTTGTCCCCTGTTTTAAAAATGGGAATTACATTAGCCATCTTCCACATATCAGACACTACACCTGTTTGAAGAGATAAATTAAAAATATTAGTTAATGGTTCACAGATTTCCAATTTGCATTCCTTAAGAACCCTTGAAAAAACCTCATCAGGACCCTGCGACTTATTTTGCTTCAGTCTGTCTATCTGCTTCACAACCATTTCACTAGTGACTGTGATGTTACATAATTTATCTTCTTCTAGCCCACTATAAAAATTAATTACTGGAATATTGTTCGTGTCTTCCTGTGTAAAAACAGAGAGAAAATAATTATTTAAATAATTAAAGAATGTAGATATACACCATTTCCTTGGCAAATTAAATAGCTTAGCCAATTCAATAAACTTTACTGTTGAGTTTGAGGAAAATAACTCATTGCCTTTTCTAGATGTTTTAATTATTAAGAGTAATAATGAATTCAAATTTAAAATTTACAGAAAACCTACAAATAACTGTTCCTATGTACACTATTATTCTTCCCATCTAGATAAAGTTAAACTGTCTGTTTTCTCATCAACGTTTTTGGGAGCTTTACGTATTTGTAGTCCAGAGTTCATAGATGAAGAAATATCCAAAATTTAGGAAATAGCCAATGATCTGAAATACCCGAGGAATGTAATTGATAAATCATTTAAAATTGCTAGAAATACTTTTTACAACCCAAAAAGGGACAACCAACCTTATTCAACTAAAAATATGTTGGTTCTCCCATACCATGAAAACTTGGTTGATATGCCTTCTCTTCTTAAGACTTTTAATATTAAAGTTATATTTATAAATCTTGATACAGTAAAAAAAATTTGATAAGGAATTCCCCCCAAAATGCTGACAGATGTGTCTATAAGATTCCTTGTAAAATTTGCGATAAAGTTTATTACGGTCAAACTGGTCTCGAACTTACATTAAAACAACATAAATATAGCATTAGAACTGGACAAGATTCCAATGCTCTATTTATTCATGTGAGAGACTTTAACCATCCAATTGATTTTCAAAAAATTGAGAAAGTTGTATCAAGCAAGTCCATGGTTGACAGAAATATAATTGAATCTTGTTTCATAAAAGGCAGTTTTGAAAATAATATGAATATTTCCTTAGGTTTGTATAAATTAGTTTCATTTATAATTAATAAAATTTGGTTAGAGTTTAACAATACATTGGACAAATAATAAACCTTAATTCTTGGGTAGAATGATTTGTTGGTGGGATGTCGTGAGGACCTGTCTAGTTGGACCAGCGGACCTACTGCAGTGTTCCTCTTTTCTTATGAGTCCGGTATTGTCGCTCGTCAGGTGTTTCTTTGTTGTGGGAGTTGACTGTGAGGTGTGGTCTAAGCCCCTTTATTGCCTTCCTTTGATGTATTACTTTCATAGTTCCTTGACAATGTGAGTAGTCACGAAAGCGCTTGGAATTTCACTACTCTTTCACAGTGGTTGTTTTGCATAATTTAAAATCACCTGTTTACTGTGATCTTATTGCATATATATATATATATATATATATATATATATATATATATATATATATATATATATATATATATATTATATATATATATATATATATATATATATATGTCGTGCCGAATAGGCAGAACTTGGCTTAAATAGCAACGCTCATCTTGCCATATAGGACAAGTGAAAATTTGTGTATGCAATAATTTCGCCAAAATCATTCTGAACCTAACGAAAAAAATATATTTCACTGTTTTTGTTTAGTATTAAATTACTGTGAACAAATCTAAAAAATATTTAGTTGGGTTAGGCTAAAATAAATTGCTCTTCTTATAAAAAGGTTAGGTAAGTTTTCTAAGATTCTTTTGGTGCAAAATTAGATTTTTTTCCATTAACATTAATGAAAAAAAATATCTTTAAACGCATAAAAGAAAATTTCAGAAAGAACTTAATTTTAAATAAGTTCTTGCTAATTGACCAGTTTTACATATTCGGCACGATATATACATATATATATATATATATATATATATATATATATATATATATATATATATATATATATATATATATATATATATATATATATATATATATATAATATATTATATATTATATATACAGTCCTGGAGATGGGAAGTACAGTGTCTACACTTTGTAGGAGGGGTGTTAATGTTGCAGTTTTATAACTGTACTGTAAAGCACCCCTCTGGCAAGACAGTAATGGAGTGAATGATGATGAAAGTTTTTTCTTTCTCGGGCGACTCTGCCTTGGTGGGATTCGGCCGATGTGTTAATAAAAATAAATAAAATATATATATATATATATATATATATATATATATATATATATATATATATATATATATATATATATATATATATATATAATATATATATATATATTACTCCACGTTTGTGTTTGTGTGTACTCACCTAATTGTGCTCACCTAATTGTGGTTGCAAGGGTCGATACTCAGCTCCTGGCCCCGTCTCTTCACTGAGTGCTACTAGGTCCCCTCTCTCCCTGCTCCATGAGCTTTATCATAACTCATCTTAAAGCTGTGTATGGTTCCTGCCTCCACTACCTTACTTGCTAGACTATTCCACTTCCTGACTACTCTATGACTGAAGAAATACTTCCTAACATCCCTTTGACTCATCTGGGTCTTCAACTTCTAATTGTGACCCGTTGTTTCTTTGGCCCATCTCTGGAACATCCTGTCACTGTCATCCTTGTCTATTCCACACAGTATTTTGTATGTTGTTATCATGTGCTTTCGTGATTTCTCACATTATTAAGAACCTGTAAAAAAGGGAACAGCAGATGGCTATATAAATCTGAGATATCACCTCAGTCAAGTCCGAAATTACACCCATCACATTATGATGCGGGTAGGATGATCGAGGACTTAACAAAGAATTTCATATATGTATTATCAACTGTTTCTTGATAATTTACCCTTGTTTAAATCAACCTGCAAATTTTTATCTTTTCAACTGCGTTTTATAGCATGATAATTATGTATTGATATTTATTTCATTGGAAATAATATAAAATTGTATATGCCAAGTAAATCACTTGCATTGTTTTGATTCAGAATTCATTTAATACACCTTTGAGTCACTAGAACAAAAATTCAAAATACATTACATTTTATAATGGATGTAGTAGAATGTGCATATGTTCTTTTCTGCGGAAAAAATGCGACAAAGTTCTATAAAGTTCTACAGGGACGCCTTGTAGAAGAAAGGACTGACTGTTGATGTTGACGTTTCTGTCTACTACAGCCGTTTATAGATACATGTTCACCTCAAGGTTTGGGGTGGGACAAGGAGACCAGCCAGGAGGAGTGGCAAAGGGTGGCGAGAGAGCTACATGAAGCCTTCACCGATATTGGCTGTGCTTACCTCACTAACCACGGTGTTCCCGACGACCAGGTAGGTGTCATATTTATATATATATATATATATATATATATATATATATATATATATATATATATATATATATATATATATATATATATATATATATATATGTCGTGACGAATAGGTAAAACTCGCGATTTTAACTTAAATAGCAACGCTCTTCTTGCCGAGCAAGGCAAGCGAAAATTTGTGTATGCAATAATTTCGCAAAAATCATTCTGAACCTAACGAAAAGAAATATATTTCATTGTGTTTGTTTATTATTAAATTACTGTATACTTATCTAAAATATATTTAGTTGGATTAGGCTAAATTAAATTGCGCTTGTTATAATAACGTTAGGTAAGTTTCCTAAGGTTCTTTTGTACAAAATTATTAATTTTTACATTAACATAAATGAAAAAAGTCATTAGCAAACAACGATGACGATGCTCACATCATCGGACAGTAAATTTTGTAGGAATCATAAGTTTATGAAGCGATAGTGACCTCCTGCAGAATCCCCAGGAGGTTATACTGAAATGCGACCGCAACACATCAAAGAGATGGTAAATCCCGTGCTTGGCACAGATGCATCAATTCTTCTTTCTAAGTTAACAACCATCGTCAATAACCGTCTGGCTGGGTACATTCCAGAAGAAATTAAACATTTTTTTTTTTTGAGCCTCAGTATGAGCTCTGAAAAAGAAGGATGGGGAAATCAGATCCATTGCTGTCAGTAAGACTCTTCGCCGTGTCGTTGCTAAAGTATCAGTAAGAAACATTCGCACAGAAACCACCAGTTTACTCCATCCACACAAACTGGGCATTGGAGACTCTGAAGGCAGTCAAGCAGCAGCTTATGCAGCGAGGGCCTACATCAAGGCCGTTGTCAAACTAGACTTTAGAAATATCTTTTATATGGTGAAAAGAGATGTGGTCCTGCCAGGTGTTCGAAATCAGTTCCCCAGTCTTTTTCCCTTTCTTTGAGCTGGCTACAGCAAATCCTCAATTCTCTTGTTCGGTATCAATACGGTTGCCCCGCAAGTCAATATTGATCCCTTGATGTGGCCTTTGGCAGGTACAGTAGACCCCTGATAGGGGACCTACAACGGGTAAACCCTAGGAGAACCGGGGCAAATTTCTAAACCCTCCAAGGGGAAATTCAAAACCCAAAACCGGAAATACACTCTGTGCGAACATCCTTTCTGAAGTTTCTACTACACCCCGCCGGAGCATCTTCATGGGAGCCCCTGGGTCATAAGCCTAAACAACCGTAAGGACGAACTGAATGACCTGAAGATAATGGGGGAAGGGAATAATGATGGGATCCCCATGATGCCTATATTTAACTGGTGCTTTTATTAACTTCTTCTTGAGGTGCCACCCTTTTGGCAACCCAACATTCAGCGAAAAAGACGTACCATGAGTATATCTTTAAGAAGGCATTAATCTTCACGGGAAGATCACCAAGGGATCAAGTACCTTTTCCAGTGTAACGGGGGGTTAGGGTACGCAAGTCAACGAAGGAAATTTTTCCTGCTTTTGCATCGTGTTTGGTCTCCGGGGAACTAGTGAAGAGATCGTCCCAGAACGATGAAGAGTAAAAGAGGTGCGTAGGGCCAACAACCCGGGTTTCACTGAAACAGCCTAAAAGTAAAACCCCCTTTGGAATACTTCAAGAAAAACAGCTCCCCCCAAAGAGCACAATCAGCCCCATTTGGGAAAAAAATGTCAGGAAAAAAAATCCCCAAAACACAATGCCCCCAACGCTCGGAAAGGACAAAGCTCTCCCGGCAGTAAAGGGCACCCCACTAGGAGATTTCCTTTTAGCTGTTCCCAATTCTCCCTGGGACTCGACTGGAACACAGGCATTCAATTGGTGTTGTCTTCGCCTAGCCGCCCCCTCTCACCGAAAAAGGGGAATGCGGCGGGGACAGTTGCAATTTTGGGCTTTATGGTCTCGCTGTCACACGCAAAGGGGGGTATGCCCGGCATGGGAGGTCTGACATCATAAAGAGAAGCCCGCCCAGCCGTTGCCCCCTCAAGGGGAAACCCCAAATACAAAGGGCTGACGGAAGTCAAAAGTGTCCTGATGGGCCACTTTGCTACCCTGGAAAGGGTGGAAAGCAAATTCCTGAATCACCGTGTGTCACATTTGGCAGACACCCACTTGCCTACTCCTAGGGAAGGGGGGGCACTCCAGCCCAGGAGACCAGAAGATCCGCAAATATGAAGACCTCCCCCTTTCCCATAACTTCATCCCAATGGGGGCGGGACCCCTTGGAGCATGGGGCAATGTGCTCAAAGTTTCTCAAAGAGTGGGGGGAAAAATCTCATAGAAAACCAAAGGCCAAGGGGACCGCTTCCTCTTTCGAGACTCAGTTTTGCGATCCCAAAAGGGAAAACCTGCGCATTCTGGGCACGCGGCCCACCCCCGGGGAGCTGGACGAAGATTCAGATGTAGCTTGAGTTACATATGTTTTATTTTTGTTGTATCTTTGTAATGTTTTTCAAAGTATTTTGTCTTTTTAAAAAAAATTTATATTAAATATAGGGGGGGGTTTGGAGAAAATCTCAAAAAAGCTTCAGGGAGAACCCTTTAGTTTTTTCCCGAAGCAAGTTTAAATTCTTTTTTTCTGAGGATGAGGGGCCCTAGGACAGTTCTAGAGGTGGTACCCCCCTAATTCTTTATTTTTTATATTTAATATAAAATATAATATATATATATTATATATTAATAAAAATTATATATATAATATTATTTTAAAATATATATTACATATTATATAATATATATATATATAATATATATATATATTATATAATATTTATTTTTTTAAATATTTAAAATTTTATTTTAATTTATATAATATATTTTAAAAATAAAAATAAATTTTTATTTAATATATATTAAAATATATATATATATTTAATATATATTATAATTTATATTTTTATATTAAAAAAATATTTTATATATAATATATATAAAATTTATATTTTTAATATATTTATTATATATTTATATATAATTTTTATATATAAAAATTTTTATTTTATTATATATATATATATATATTTATATATTAAAATTTTTAATAATAAATTTATAAAAAATTTTATATATATATTTTATTATTTATATTTTATTTATATATATAATATATTTATATAAATATTATTATTTTTTATATAATATTTAAAAATAAAAAATAATTTAATATATATTTATAATTTTTAATTTTTTAAATATATTTATATATATATATTTTTTTTTATATTATATATAAAAATTTTTTAAATATAAATTTTATTTATATATATATATATATTTATATATATTATATATATATATATATATATATATATATATATAATATATATATATATATATATATATATATATATATATTTAACAAGTCGGCCGTCTCCCACCGAGGCTGGGTGACCCAAAAAGAAAGAAAATCCCCAAAAAGAAAATACTTTCATCATCATTCAACACTTTCACCTCACTCACACATAATCACTGTTTTTGCAGAGGTGCTCAGAACACAACAGTTTAGAAGCATATACGTATAAAGATACACAACATATCCCTCCAAACTGCTAATATCCCGAACCCCTCCTTTAGAGTGCAGGCATTGTACTTCCCATTTCCAGGACTCAAGTCCGGCTGTACAAAAATAACCAGTTTCCCTGAATCCCTTCACTAAATATTACCTTGCTCACATTCCAACAGATCGTCAGGTCCCAAATACCATTCGTCTCCATTCACTCCTATCGAATACGCTCATGCACGCCTGCTGGAAGTCCAAGCCCCTCGCCTACAAAACCTTCCTTACCCTTTCCTTCCAACCTTTTCAAGGACGACCCCTACCCCGCCTTCCTTCCCCTACAGATTTATCCGCTCTCCATGTCATTCTACTTTGATCCATTCTCTCTAAATGACCAAACCACCTCAACAACCCCTCTTCGGCCCTCTGACTAATACTTTTATTAACTTCACACCTTCTCCTAATTTCCACACTCCGAATTTTCTGCATAATATTTACGCCACACATTGCCCTTAGACAGGACATCTCCACTGCCTCCAACCGCCTCCTCGCTGATGCATTCACAACCCAAGCTTCACATCCATATAAGAGTGTTGGTACTACTATACTTTCATACATTCCCTTCTTTGCCTCCATAAATAACGTTTTTTGTCTCCACATATACCTCAACATACCACTCACTTTTTTTCCCTCATCAGTTCTATGATTAACCTCTTCCTTCATAAATCCATCAGCCGACACGTCAACTCCAAAGTATCTGAAAACATTCACTTCTTCCATACTCCACCTCCCCAATTTAATATCCAGTTTTTCTTTATCTAAACAATTTGATACCCTAATCAAGTTACTCTTTTCTATGTTCACTTTCAACTTTCTACCTTTACACACTCTCCCAAACTCATCCACTAACCTTTGCAATTTTTCTTTAGAATCTCACAAAAGCACAGTATCATCAGCAAAAAGCAACTGTGTCAATTCCCATTTTGTATTTAATTCCCCATAATTTAATCCCACCCCTCTCCCGAACACCTTAGCATTTACTTCTTTTACATCCTCATCAATAAATATATTAAACAACCATGATGACATTACACATCCCTGTCTAAGACCTACTTTTACTGGGAGGTAGTATCCCTCTCTTCTACACACCGTAACCTGAGCCTCACTATCCTCATAACTCTTTACAGCATTTAGTAACTTACCACCTATTCCATATACTTGCAACATCTGCCACATTGCTCCCCTATCCACTCTATCATATGCCTTTTCTAAATCCATAAATGCAATAAAAACTTCCCTACCTTTATCTAAATATTGTTCACATATATGCTTCAATGTAAACACTTGATCTACACATCCCCTACCCACTCTGAAACCTCCTTGCTCTTCCGCAATCCTACTTTCTGTCTTGCCTCTAATTCTTTTAATTATAACCCTACCGTACACTTTTCCTTGTATACTCATAAACTTATT